CGCTAGGACTGATTGTTTCCATTAATTTTGGTTTTCTTCTTTCTTCTTGACGAGGAGAGACCCGTTGTTGCATCTAGATGGCAGCTTCCTAGCTTTTCTTGTAAGATTTTGCCTGACTGGGGACAAGTCCACGTGCGTGGCTGGACCCAGAGCAGGTGCTGGGAGGGAACCCTGCGGGCACTGGGAGGCAACCCTGCGAGGCACTGGTGAGTTGGGCTGCTGCCCAGGAGCTGTATTCTGTGGGGTAGAGACACTGGGAGGAGGCAGACGCTGCGACCCGGCCACCACCCTCTGCCGCTGTCTCCTCAGATTTCATGAACGTCTACTACCAGATCCGCTCCAGCCAGCTGGACCGCTCCATCAAGGGCCTGAAGGAGCACTTCCGGAAGAGCAGCTCCTTCTCGGGGGTTCCCTACTCGCCCGCTATCCCCAACAAGAGGAAGGAGACCCCCACCAAAAGGCCGGTCAAGCGGCCAGGTGAGCCCCCTCTCCCATCTAAGAGCAGGCAGAAGGCTGGCTGGGACCTGGGTGGCTCTGTCTGTCCCGGAATTAGCAGCGTCAGACCCCACAGAGCTTGTCTTCTGATAACTCCTGACTGTTGGTGTCCAAGACAGACAGTGTGAGAGGGAGGGCTGCTTCCTCCACCCAGCAGTCTGTCTGGAAGTTATACTCATGGCTTTGGGGTCACAGAGATGTCCTCAGATATCTCTCCTGAGGCATGGTGACAGTGGGACACTAGGGCAGAGCCACTTGTTGGGCACGGTGACAGTGGGGGCCGAGGCAGAGCCACTTTTGGGGCATGGACAATGGGACACTAGGGCAGAGCTACTTGTTAGGCATAGGGACAGTGGGACCAGGGAAGAGCCACTTGTTGGGCACGGTGACAGTGGGCCATCAAGGACCAAGGGGTCTGCTCCCCCACAGGCCTTCGCTGGCATCTGGAGAATGAGTGGGTTAAGGCAAGAACAGCAGTGGAGGCTGCCCTCTGGGGCACAGGCAGAATTAGGGTAGCTGGGCCTGATGGCCAGGCAGGAGGTGCTGCCATCTCCCCTCCAGTGTGGCTGTCCTGGCCACACCCCTGGCAGAACTGCCGCCAACAAGAAATCTGCTGGCCCAGGCTGCCCGTGCTGCAGAAGAGCCTGCCCTGTGCACCAAGGGGCTGTCTCTGTGAGGCCCCAGGGCCTCTCTGTGTCATTCTCTGCAGATTCACCTGAGCCCCCACGACCTGGTTGGCCCTGCCCTAGGCGTGCTAGCAGGCCATGCAGGGATGGGGAGGCGGGGCCTGATCTCAGGGGTCTCCCGGCTCCTAGACACAAGAGGGGACCAAGGCTGCGGGGATCTGGGGGATTTCAGAGTTGTCAGGAGCTGGTGGGCTCAAGATATGTCAGGGACCAGGGAGTCAGCCTCAGGGACATTAGTTCTGGGTGCTGGGGACAGGAGCAGAGTGGCCCAGTGGGTAATGAAAGGCCAGCCTCACCCTCATCTCTGGTAATTGGGCCCCCGATGGCTTTGGCAGCTGCGCGGTCAGCGTCCCTGAACCACATCCGTGCCCACGTGCTGATTGGGCTGACCCTGGGCCCTTGGCCCGTCTGCTCCAGGTGGGGCGTGAGGTGGGAATCTGATCTGCTCATTAGTGAGGCTGCTCTGTGCAGGAGAACACGGGGGACACAGATGTTGAGCAGCAGCCGCCACGGAGCTAAGCGATTAGAGGCTAATTCTGCCCTAGTGCTCCGGGCTGCGTGCCTCCTTCCCCAGCCCCCGGGGAGCCATCTAGCACGCGGTGGCCTCACTGTGCTGCCGCAGGAGAGGGCTGAAGTCCCCCGGGGATGGTGGACTAGAGTCACACTCAAACGACCCTCCTGTCCCCAACACAAGTCATATGAGCAAGGCAGCCACATCTGACTGTTTTAAATGTTATTTTATCCGCACCCTCCTCGCTTCCTGCCCTGAGATGTCTCCTTCCCCAGAGATGGCTGACCCAGGAGGCGGCGGGTGCTGTAGTTTTGTTTTTATTGTTTGACTTGTGATACTAACTGTTGTTTTTTCCCCCCTACCCTGTGCCAAGGGCATGTCCCCTCCCCTCTGGCTGTCCTCTGCACTCTGTGGTGGCTTCTGGAAACCCCTTGGTGACTCTGGTCTTTCTGTCCCATGACTCTTAGTGGTTCGGGCAGCTCCTGCGGCGGGTGAGGCCTGGCTGCTCATCTCCCAGCCTCTGTCTCAGTGCTGCTCTTTCTGCGAGCTCTGTCCTCCTCCCCGCTGCCAGACTCGCTTCCCTCCAACGAGGGTTTGGCTCTGTCCCAGCACTGAGCATACTCCACAGGTTCTGCCTGGAGTCGGGCTGCCGAGGGCCTGCCGGCTCCGGGTGTCCCCGCTGGGTCTGAGGGCTTCGCCACCAGCCCCATCCTGGGCGGCGTTGTGGTTAAGATGCCACACGGGTGGGAGCATTATTTTCGGCTTCTGATGGCGCCTCACCTACCTTACTTCCTTCTCACCCAAAATGAACGCACATCTGGGCATTGAGCCCCGTCGGGAGACCCGCGCTTCCCGTGGCGGCCACCCTCAGGGTTTCAGGTGGTCCTGGGAAGCGCCAGCCAGGAAAGGGATGGGGCGTGCTCACTGCTAGGGGCCGGGGGCCTCGGGTTGGTGGAGGGTGGCTGCTGTTCTCTTTCACTTGTTTCCCAGGTCTTCTTATCTCCTCTCTGTGGCTCTGGTGACAGGGACGATCCGTAAGGCTCAGAACCTTCTGAAACAGTATTCCCAGCATGGTCTAGATGGGAAAAAGGGGGGCTCTAACCTCATTGCTCTGGAAGGTAATCCCCTGTGCTCCTCTCCCTCCTCCTCCTCCATGTGTCTCCTCTCTGGGCAGGGCGGAGCCTCCAGCCACCCAGGAGGCCTGGGAGAGCAGCCCTGAGAGGGGAGCGGGGCGGGAACCACAGCTCCCTGGCACCGCTGAGGCTCCGGCTGGTGCAGGGACAGAGTCCTGGCCTTTGGCCTGGTCCTGTCTGGCTGATGGCAGCTCTGCCCTCCCTGAGCTCTCCCCCCACCATCCCCACCCCTCTGTCTCTGTCTTTTGTCTCCTGTTGGAATCAGAGAACGTTCTTGGTCCTGGGGCAGCCCTTTCACGCTTAGACCAGCAGTGGCAGGACCAAGCCGGCTTAGGCCTCCTGACCACTCCACTCCCTCGAACTTTGGAAAGGAGAGCATGTGCGGTCAGGGACCAGGCAGCTTGTAGACACATCCCGCCCCACCTCCTGCCCGAGGAGAGAGGAGAAACAGCCAGGTCACCTGCCTTGGTGGGCCTGCCCTCCTTCAAAGCAGTGGCCCTGGGGACAGAAGAAGGCTGGCTGCTCCTTCTCACGTCACAGTGACGTTTCTCTAACTGTACTTTGGGAGAGGCCCGCTCTGGTGAGGCCAGGAAGTTCCCTGGCTGGGCAGCCAGTCCTCCATGTCTGTTGAGAACCCTTTGAAAGCCTAGGTGCTCCTCAGCTTTCCCCCGGTTGCTGGCCTTGGGACAGCCAGCTCCCAGGTCGGGCCCAGGCCCTGCAGGTCGGACTTGAAATGGCTGTTCCCTAGGTGGTTTGACACGGCGGGGGGGCTCAGAGCCCCCTCCGCCCCCTCCCTGTCCCCATCACACCCCACTCCTGGAGACCAAGGGCTTCTTCCCGCCCCCAAGGGGCCCCCCTGGCCCTGGATAAACCGCTCCCTGTGTTTGTGCGGCTGACGTCTTGCTAGGTCACGAACACGATTTCCGCGTTAAGCACCTGTCCGAGGGCCCGAACGACAAGCACGGGCCGCTGGCTGGTGAGTACCGCGGCCCAGCCCCCACGCAGCCACCGCCGAGCAGCCCAGCACCTGCTCCGTCTGGGCCGGCCAGGCCCACCTGCCTCTCTCTCTGCTCCAGTCTCTCTCTCTCGGGCGCCAGGTCTCCTTGCCGCTCTCTGGACAACAATGCAGCTGTGCTCAGGGCCTGGCCCTGGGGAGATGCTGCATCTGCTTGGGAGGTGGCTCCCTCAAGGGCAGGACGTCCCAACGTCTTGGCTCCAGAACGGCTCCACAGCTGTGAACCCAGGGAGCTGTTCCCTTGGTGCATGGGACCAGGCTGTCTGTCCCTGGTCTCGGCCTCCTAGAGTGGGATCCAGACTCCTCTGGGGCAGCTGACAACCCAGGCGCCCTCCACTAAGGGGCTGTCCTTACCATCCCTTGAATTTTGGCCCCGTGGCAAACAGTCCACCACCCTCCTCTATGTCCCAGGCCTGGCTGGGCTGGTCGCTGCTTTCAGAGGCCTGGTATTTCCTCTGCTGGCTGACCTGCCGCCTGCCTACCCAGACTGCCTCTCTCCTGGATGGTTCAGGACCCTTGCCCCTACTGGCCAGACAGGCCTTGTCCAGGAAGTTGACTTAGAGATCTTCTCTTCTGAACCTCTTTCCCCTTCCCCCACCCTTTCTGGGCTCAGATGCTTTGAGACAGACAGACGGTCCTAGGCAGATGGAGTGTGAGGGTGGGACTGCGGCTGGGCTCTGCCCCTGTGTTCTCCCTCCAACCTGGTCAGGCCAGTGGCATCCTCATGGCTTCCTGCCACAGGCCCGTGGCCTCCTTCCCATCTGCTGCTGGTCTGGGCTGCAGGTCAGGAGCTGGGGAGAGCCCCACCCCTCGGCAAGGGAGGCTCAGGGGCACTGCTGTACCCACAGGGAGAGATGACATGCTGGATGTGGAGACGGACGCCTACATCCACTGCGTCAGTGCCTTTGTCCGGCTGGCCCAGAGCGAGTACCAGCTGCTGACTGACATCATCCCCGAGCACCACCAGAAGAAGACCTTCGACTCCCTGATCCAGGTCCCGCCCACCACCCCGCCCAGCAGGCTCCCCCGGCACCACCAAGTCTTCAGTCTGGGACAGGCCTGTTTTCCATGGTCATGGGGGTCTGTCCAAGGTCCCTCAGTGGCGCAGTGTGCACTTGACAACTAGCCTAAAGATTGGCAGTTTGAACCCACCCAGCAGGACTGCGGAAGAAAGGCCTGGCCTGATCCACAAAGATTAGAGCCCAGAGAGCCCTGTGGAGCGGTTCTACTCTGTGTCACAAGGCCGGCACCATGAATTGGAATCAACTTGACGGCAGTGGGTTTGGTTTTAGGGGCCTGTCCTGGGTGGTGTGTCCCAGTCAGTACCCCCCATGCCCCATCCCTGCTGCCACGTGCTGGCTCCCCCTGCCTCCCCGATGTCCTCCCCTCCCTCCCACCCCTGCCGTGAGGCGCCCTAACCACTCTGCCCTACCCTAAGCTGCCCCTGGCCTCCCTCAGGACGCACTGGACGGGCTGATGCTCGAGGGGGAGAATATCGTGTCGGCCGCCCGCAAGGCCATCATCCGACACGACTACTCGGCAGTGCTCACCGTGTTCCCCATCCTGCGGCATCTGAAGCAGACCAAGCCTGAGTTCGACCAGGTGCTCCAGGTATGTGGGCGGGCAGCCCCCAGCACCTGCTGCCACGGGCCTCCCAGCTCCCGGCGAGCTGGTGCCGTTCTTCACACCTCTGCTCTGAGCAGCCCTGGGAGAGAGCAGAGCTGGTGGCTTCCTTGGTGCTGCAGTGGCCGTGTCCTGGGGCGAGGGCAGGGGCTCCCCTGTGCAATGTGCCGTGTGCTTCCTTAGGGCACAGCCGCCAGCACCAAGAACAAGCTGCCCAGCCTCATCACCTCCATGGAGACCACCGGGGCCAAAGCTCTAGAGGACTTTGCGGACAACATCAAGGTAACTGTCCCCACGCCTGGCCCAGCCGTGGATGCTGTGGGCAGACCAGCCATGACCTGGCTCTGAGGAACTCTTCAGAGAGCAGCCCTCCAGGAGGGCCGAGCCCACTGTAGGGAAGCTGGCTGCACGGCTGGTTCCCCGTGGATGTCCCCAGGGCCTCCAGAGCCCTCTGAGGCAGAAGCTCCCTCTGCCTGAGGGTGTCCTGACACCTGTCTGCCAGGAGGTGGCGCCATGAGCAACCAAACCTGGCGAGTGGGGTGAGGCCGATCGAATCCCTAGCGGCACAAACAGTTAATGCACTTGGTTGCTAACCAAAAGGTTGGAGGTGGGCGTCCACCCAGAAGCACTGCAGAAGAAAGGCCTGGCAATGTACTTCTGAAAAGCCAGCCATTGCAAGGCCTGGGGAATCCCGACCAAAAGGGGGAAAATGCAGAACAGAATTTCAAATTCTCGTGGACTCCACATGTTCAGAGCCACGGAGATGGGTGAACTCCTAGATCTATTGCCCTGGGATAATCTTTAAACCTGAAACCAAAAATAGCGCCCGAAGTCTTCAAATCAAACAATGGTTGAGCTCAACTAGCGAGAACTGTCTGGCTTCAGCGTCATGCTCTTGTGTGATCCGTCTCTGTGAGATCGAGCTGACAACTCAGAAGGTTAGACAGGAGCCGAGGGGGTGAGGAGTGTATGTCAGCGGAGGAGCAGCGACTGAGGAAAGGACGGGAGGTGGTTGCCCAGCTGAGAGCGTCCTCAGTGCCACTGAACCGTGCGGCTAGCGACTGTTCGAACTGATGCATGTCCTGCTGCCTGTGTCCTCAGCAGGAAAAAGAAGAATCCAAAACCAAGCCCACTGCCGTCGTGTCGACTCAGACTTACAGCGCCCTTTTAGGACAGGGTCAAACCGCCCCAGAGGGTTTCCGGGGCAGTTTGACTCTGACGCATATGGCATCACCGTGAGTTGGCGTTGATGCAGCTGTTCTGTTTTGTTTTTTCCCCACAGAACGACCCAGACAAAGAATACAATATGCCCAAGGACGGTACCGTACATGAGCTCACAAGCAACGTAGGTGCTGCCTGAGGGTGCCTGGGAGGGAAGGGGCCCAGCCCAGCCCAGGTCCACCCTACACCTTCACTGGGTTGGGCTGAAGGCAGAGGGGACGGGGTGCTTAGCGTCCTCTGGCAGACGAGTCTGCCCCAGAAGGCCTGAGCATGCCTCGGCCCTGGGCCTAGCCTGGCTGTGTGGGGCTGTGCGTTGCGGGAGGTATTCAGACCTTCGGGTCCTGGCTCTGACCCCGCCCGGGGCCTGTTTCTCCCCACCCAGGCCATCCTCTTCCTGCAGCAGCTTCTGGACTTCCAGGAGACAGCGGGCGCCATGCTGGCTTCCCAAGGTACCAGGCCCCTCCCCGCGGGCCCTCCCCCACATTGCTTCCCCTTTCCCTCTTGTCTGGAGTTGTGGGGTGAGGCCCCCAGGTGGCACCGACCCCTCTAGATGCGGGCAGGGACAGTAAGGAGCCTTCCTCCAGGCCTGTGGAGTGGGACTGAGGCGTGGGGCCATCCTGGCTGCAGTAGGGAGAGCAAGTTTGACTTTGCCTCTTGCAACCCTATCCCCTCCCTTGGTTCCTCGTATCCCTCCCTTCTTGGGAGCGGCCTCACCCGTTTGAAGAGGCCCTTCCTGCCCGTCCCCTCCACGTTTCTCCACTTCCTCTCGTGTTCTTCTGCTCTCCAGTGGGTCTCACTCAGCTGCCCCTTTCAGTGGGTGGCATCTCAAGGCCAGCTTGGCTTCTTCCTGCTGGACACTGCCCCGAGGTGCAGCTTGGGAGGTTGGCATGAAAGTAGGAGGACTCTTCTGGGTCGTTCCAAGTCCTGGGGACCAGCCAGCTTGTTGAGGCCCCCGGACCCTCTTTCTTCTCCCGTGCTGGGGGCAAGCGACCCAGGGCTCTGGCCTCTGGGTCTCCAGTTCCGGTGGGGCCCGTGATACTTGGCGGGTTCACTCTGGGTGTGCCTGTCTGTGTGCTGGCTGTCGCGGGCTGAGGTCTGCAGGACTCGCGACGGGGTGGCCGTTCTAACCTGTTTTCACACTTTGCATCTTTCTCCCTTCTTGTCTCTCCCTCCGTCCCCTCTGTGTGCTCTGCTTCTCACTCCGTAGTTCTTGGGGACACATACAATATTCCTTTAGACCCCCGAGGTAAGCAGTGGGGCTGTGCCTCCCCTCCCCCCACTGAAGCCCCGCGGGTGAGGTTCCCTGGGACAGAGGTGCCTTGATGGACTCTCAGGACAGGGCCTGCTGGGGAGTGGGGGTCACAGGGCCGTCAGTTCTCACGGGATGCTCTTGACCCCCTCAGCGCCCTTCATGGCCACTTTCTGTCTCAGCATATCCGGGCAGCACCCTGCTGTGCTCAGCACCCTGAGTGCACCTCTGGCTCACCCAGCCCCTTCCTCGCCCTCCCAGCCCCCACACTCCGCCCCCCCCCGCCCCTGTCTTCTGCTCCATGCAGACAGCAGGCTCCCTTTGGGGAAGGACCTGGCAGAAGGGCTTATGGGAAGTATGGGGAGAAGTGAGGAGTAGTTCCTAAGGCTTCCCTGTTGACAGATGGGATGTGTGGGCCTCATGGGACCGCCCAGCACGGGCTGGGGCTGGGGGTGACACCCACTCCTGTCCTGACAGCCTTCCTCGTGATAGCGAGGCAGCCCCTGAACCTCCCACCCCATCGTGGCAGAGGGCTTGTGGGTACTGCCCAACGTGGGCCAGAGCTGGGGTGAGCAGAGGGTGTTCATTCTGCCCCTGTCCTGCCAGCCTTCCTGCTGATCATGACCCAGCCCCTTAACCCCTGTCATGGCTGAGAGCCTGCCCTGCTTTCTGGAGCAGCCCGTGGGCAGTGTGCCCTGTGGCAGCTGGGGCTGGGGCCCAGCAGGTACCAGCTCTGCCTCTGTGCCCCACCTGCCTGAGGAAGGTCTCTCAGGTTGCTCCCGGGGCAGATGGCAGGGCTGAGAGGGTCTCGGGCGCCGCCACAGCCACACTAACACGGCTTCTGTTCCCACAGAGACCAGCTCTTCAGCCACCAGTTACAGCTCCGAGTTTAGCAAGCGGCTTCTGAGTACCTACATCTGTGAGTATCCTTGGCACCAATGCCTCGGTTCCCTGCCTTGCCCACCTTCTCTGTGCGCCATTCCGGGGCCCTCTCTGGGCCCCACCCAACCGTCGGAGTCTAGTCTAACCTCTGGTTGAGGCACCAAGGGGAGTTGGGCTCAAGGCTCCTGAAGCCCGTGGAGTCGGGAGGTAGGGATAAGGAGCAATGCATGAGAGTTGGTGTGTGGGTCCTGGGGTTGGGGCATTTGGGTCAGACTGGCATAGGGTGTGGCCTCATTCTCCCCCCCGTGCAGGTAAAGTCCTGGGCAACCTGCAGTTGAACTTGCTGAGCAAGTCCAAGGTGTACGAGGACCCGGCTCTGAGCGCCATCTTCCTGCACAACAACTACAACTACATCCTCAAGTCCCTGGAGAAGTGAGTGGCCTGCAGGGCTGGCCTGGCCCCTGCTGGGCTGGTCTGTGATTCTCACCTGCCCTTGGCCTGGCCCACACAGGGCTGGCTGTGCCCTTGCACAGGGAAGGAGCAAGCACTGCCTTAGAGCTGCTGCAGCCTGGGGTGCGGTGGGGAGGCCCGACCCCCACCGTCCTGATAGCGTCACACAAGCGGCAGCCTGTGGGCCCGAGAGCCAGTTGGGTCTAGCCCCCGCCCCGCCCCGCCCCCAGGTCTGAGCTGATCCAGCTGGTGGCCGTGACCCAGAAGACGGCGGAGCGCTCCTACCGGGAGCACATTGAGCGGCAGATCCAGGTCTATCAGCGCAGGTGAGCCCTGGGCCGTGTGGCCGCCCCGCCTCCGCCCTGGGACCCGCCACGCACCTTCCTGCTCAGCCCCTCGAGACGCTGGGCCCGGGGCTTCCTCAGGGAACTTCCGGTTCCTCGGGGGATCCCCACATGAGTTCATGGGCTGCAGAGAGAGGCTCCTCGCCATCTTCTCCCATCGAGGCTCTGAGCCCTTTTCAGAGGTCACCTGTCACGTGTGGGGACCACTGAAGAGCTATCAGGGGTGGGGGTGACATTTAGCCCGAGAGAACAGTAAGGGGGCAAAAGCTGTTGACTCATGAAGTCACTGAAGCAGTGCTGGTGGCACAGTGGTAAAGCACTCAGCTGCTCCCCAAAGGTTGGGGTTTGAGTCCGCTGCTGGCTCTTCGGGAGGAAAGACCTTGCAGTTTGCTCTGATAAAGATCGTTAGGCGCCGTTGGGTCAGCGGCGACTCAGAGTAACGCGTACGACAGAATGAATCCCTGCCTGGCCCCGTGCCAGCCCCGCCGCCAGTGCTGGGCCTGAGCCCGTGGCTGCAGCCAGTCAGTCCACCTCCTTGAGGCTCGTCCTCCTTGCTGACCTGCTCCTTCAGAATGAGGTGCTTCTCCAGTGACTGGTCCCTCCTGTGACACGTCCAAAGTGTGGGGACGACCTCTGGCCGTCCTTGATGCTAAGGAGTGTTGTGGCTCGGAAACCGGATGGGGCACTTCTGCTCCATCACTTGAGGTCACTGTGTGCTGGAATTGACTGCACGGCCCCCACCAACCAGAGATTCCCTTAGAATGTGCTGAGTCTCTCTGAGGGTCTCAGCTTCTCCGGCCTCTTGTCCCTGCCTCTCTGCTTCCCACGTATCTGTCCTTTGCTTCCTCCTTCCCTCTTCATCTGTTCCTTCATCAGCCGTGATAGATACACAGTGTGTAGGTCACAGAGTTTGTTCATCTTATCGGATGTTCCGTTTCCTGCCCTTAACTTAAAGGTAGCACCTGAACCATTCTCTGTTCCCAAAGGGGACTCTCTGTGGTGTTTTGCCGAGTCAGGGCCCAGGGGGATTCCTACCCTCGCCCAGGAATTCAGATTTAAAGGAACAAAACCCCATCAAGGGATGAAGTGGCTGAGGGGGGTCCTCTGTCCTCACACCCCTCTCCCACCTTGGCAGTTGGTTAAAGGTGATTGACTACATTACTGAGAAGAACCTCCCTGTGTTCCAGCCTGGAGTCAAGGTGGGCTGGAGGCAAGGTGGGCTGGGAAGGGTGCTTCCATTGTGTCTGGGGAAAATGGCCAAGTATCCCTCTGAGATGGGTAAGGAGGGCTGGGACATAGGTGTTTGGGGCATGAGAGACATAAGGAGAGCATAGGGCCCTGAGGAGAACTTTCTGCCCCCAGCTCCGGGACAAGGAACGGCAGGTGATCAAAGAACGTTTTAAGGTGAGTTGGGTCCTCTCCTCTCCGTTCCTCACTGCTGCTGCCATGGCAACACAGAGCCAAACGTTTGTCTCTGGGTCCCCTCCATCTCCCTCTCTGGTAAGCAGGGCTTCAATGACGGCTTCGATGAGCTGTGCAGGATCCAGAAAGCCTGGGCCATCCCAGACACAGAGCAGAGGGACAAGATTCGCCAGGCTCAGAAAAACATCGTCAAGGAGACCTACGGGGCCTTTCTGCAGAGGTGAGCACCGCCGGGTCCCCGCTGCCCCAGCCAGACCGCCAAGCCCGATCTCAGGACGAAGGAGGAAGGGGTGGTGGATGGGGGCCTCCGGTCACCGTGGGGCCAGACAGGGATGTCATCGGGGACATGGCTCACCACTTCTGAGAGCCTGTCGGCAGTGCTGTGGTGAGTCCCCTCCCTGACCTCGGTGCCTGCTCAGGTACGACAATGTGTCCTTCACCAAGAATCCTGACAAGTACATCAAGTACCGCGTGGAGCAGGTGGGCGACATGATCGATCGCCTTTTTGACACCTCCGCCTGAGCTGCTGTGGTCCCTGCCTGGTGCCACCAGACTGGCCATGTTACTGGACAGATAAACCACTGTTAACTTGCCTGGCCGCTGAGTTTGAAGTCCTTTGGGACAGGGATCTTTCTTTGCTGTTCCAGCCACGAACTCCACCCCTGAGCCCTCTAGTCCCAGCACCCACTTCTTCCTAGCACTCTCCCAAGACACTGGGGACCCTTCACACCCTGGGGTTTGTGACCTCGACTGCAGTCTACAGAGCCACCTGATGGCTTCCAAGACAGGAAAGGGGGAAAGCAAGGCCTTGGGCCCACAGCTGCCTCCTGTGTACCAAGAGCAGAGGGCAGGGCAGCCTACCCCATCCAGGCAGATATGGGACCAGACAGAGACTGTCCCTTCTGCCCAGAAGTGTGGGGTACGGCTCAGAAGAGCAGGACGTGTCACAGCCAGAGGGAAGGGAGAAGAACGAGCAGGGTGAACCTGCTCCCCTGGGACTTGGTGCAGTCATGGGGGCTGGAGCTGTTCACCACAGGGGCACCCTAGGTGGCTGGGGGCAGCAGTGCTCGCTGTCCATGCCCTCTAGGGGCTGGCTCACACACTCACCCACCTTCTGAGCCCAACTCTCTGGCCTTTCCTCTATATCCAGTGTCAGTGCCTTTTGGCCTAGGGGCAAGCAGCAGTCAGTGGTGGTGGAAGGAGCTCTCAGGCCACATGGGTAGAGGCTGAGTGACTGGTGGACACTGGTGGACAGAATGGGAGTCAGGGGTGAGTTGGGGCCCTGCCACTTAGCATGAGAGTGAACAGCTTGAGTTTGGTGAAGACAGATCTTGGGGTACACTTGGACTTGGACAGTTGGTTTATTTCCCACCCTGCTGACATGATGACGGAAGGAAGATCTCAGGGCACTGAGGTTAGGGAAGAGAGCCAACCTCCTCCCCTTCTCTCCAGAGACCTGGTCAAGCCCTCCCCTGGCCCAGCGAAACCAGCCCCATCTTCAGGTCTGCAGCCTGGTACTTGGGGGCCCTTGTTCGCTGCCCTGTTACAGCCTGGGCTGCCCACCGTGGGGCGCAGCCTCGCCAGGGGCTGGGTCTGACTTGCACACCATCCACATCCAGATGCCAGCAAAGATGACTTGGCTGCACACCACCCCAGCCACATACGCCAGAAAAAAGACGTGGTCGGCAGCCTCAGCCCAGCTCCCCCCTGACCCCTCTCTTCCTCCAGGGGTTCCTATAGGGAAAAAGGAAATAAGCTGACCTTCAGGGCTCCCCAGCACACTCCCCAAGACAAGGCAGCCCAGCAGCTGGTCACCTTGTAGCCAGTGACCGCGATGGGCCAGAGGAGCAGCAGCCCCCGCACAGTGCCCCAGGGTTGCCAGCCTGTACACGAACCCTCTCAGATTCACTGAAGTCTGGCCCTTTCTAGACCGTCTTCAGTTGAAGACATCCACCCCCCAGAGAGGCTCTGCAAGGCACTGAGGTGTCTCAGGAAGGCTGAACGTGTCCTTACTCCAAACCCACCACTTCCAAGGGAGGAAGGGTGCAGCCCAGGGCAGGAAAGCCAGCAGAGTGCATGCTGGGAACCTCTAAATCCAGCCTGGAGACCCCCAGCCACTAGGAGTGCGGCATGCCCACTCTGGCTCGTCAAACCTGTCCCCAGGCCTTAGTCTGAGCCCCCAGGAAAGGCCTCAGCCACCCCCCGAGCCCCTACCCACCTTGAGGAGCAGGCCCTGGGTTCTCGTGGTTCTGCTGCCCCCGTCCTGGGACAAGGCTGGGCTGGACCTTGGCCCCCTGGCTGCCCCGGGCCAGCAGCCCGGCCAGCAGCACGGTCTCCGCGGTGCTGAGGAAGAGCAGCAGCAGCAGGACAGTGAAGTAGTAAACTGGGGGGGGCAAGGGGAGACGGTCAGGGGCCAGCGGTGCGGGGGAAAGGAGGCAGGCCCAGAGGAACGGTCCGCGCAGGGCCCACCCGGCAGGAGGCTTACTGAGCAGTGGGTTACAGGAGGAGGAGCTGGGCAGCGCCTGCACCAGGGACGAGTGGAAGACAAGGCAGCCCAGCAGCAAGGTCACCTTGTAGCCCAGGCGCTCAGCGGCCCCGAGGGGCAGCAGCCCCCCACACACGTCGGCCACCAGCAGCGCCTCCCCCGGCACCAAAAGAGCGATGATGGCCTTTAGTGCCGTGTTCTGCAGGGTCAGCTGGAAGGCAGGCAGAGGAAGTGGGCAGCAGGAAGTGGCGTCCTGGCCCCTGGCTCTGCGTCCTTCGGCACCCTGGACCAACCTGCTCCCCGCTCACCGTCACCTGGAAGCAGGGCACCAGCTGCTGGGGTGGGACTTGGGTTTTCAAATCCCAGACTACGTACTCCCTCTTGACACTCACGATCTCGTTGACGGCGTAAGCCCGGAACTCCAACTCCGTCACTGGAGGGGTGGGGACAAGAAGGACTACTGGGAAAGAGACACCCCTGCCCTTGCTGCCTCTTGGGAGTCGGGGCAGGGACACACTGGAGCCCAAGGCGATGAAAATTCCTACAGGCTGAGGGTGGGGGGAGGGGCAGCTTGCAGATGAAACTGCCAAACTCACCTGTGTCTCCAGTTAGGGGAAGGGGCCTTATCAGACTCGTGGGGGAATTCTTATTGTACAAATAAATGCTCTTGGCACCATGTCACTGAGGGGTGTGGTCCCAGACCCGCACCATCTCACCCTGTTGTTGTTGTTGTTAAGTGCCGTCAAGTCGTTTCCGACTCATAGCGACCCCATGCACAGCAGAACGAAACACTGCCCGATCCCGCACCAGCCCCACAATCCCTGCTATACTCGAGCCCATCATCGCAGCCACTGTATCAATCCATCTCGTTGAAGGCCTCCCCCTCTTTCGTCGACCCTCCACCCTACCAAGCATGACATCCTTCTCCAGGGAATGGTCCCTTCTTACAACATGACCAAAATAGGTGAGACGAAGTCTGGCCATTCTTGCTTCCAAATCTCACCCTGGAGTAGCAGTTTTTGTGGTCTGTGCTGCAGCTGCGGTCCTTCACCCAGGGGAAGGATGCAAGACAAGGGTGGGGCTTCTCTGCCAACTGGAGGTGACCTGACCAACCCGGGGCTAGCTACTGGGTGGGTGCATCTTTCGGATGTGGCCAGGAGAGGGCGCAGCAGCCTGAGCCGCTGCCTCCTTGCAGGTCGGCCCGTGCAGCCCTAGCCCTCGCTCTGGAGGCTCATGGCTCTGGGGTGGCTGAGGGGGAGGTGAGAAGACAGATCACCAGATTTGGGGGCTGACCCCTGGGCTACAGCTGAGTGCAGAACTAGAAGGTGGGCGATGAGGACGGCAGGTCCTGTTGTGGGATCTCTTTAGCTCCCCTAAGCTTGGGTTGCCCAGTGTGAACACAGACTTGACCGCCTGGGTCTGATATCCCCTGCCCTCTGCCCCCAGCCCCGGCTGGCACCAGTGTTGCTTAGCGCATAGAAGCTGAGGCTGCAGTCGCTCTGGTCCCGGGGGAATCGGAGGAGCTCAAAGTCGCAATTGGTCTCCGCCGTGAGGGCCAGGTAGAGTTCCACGTTGCCGTCTGGGTCCACTCGTGCCCGTGGGCTCTGGTCCCGCCAGTCCACCCAGAGCCTGCGGGAGGAGAGAGGCCACAGCCGAAGGCCCCGCTGCCGTCGGATTCGGGAGAGGAGAGAGGCAGCGCGAGGTGGTGGCCTGGCAGTAGCCTAGGGGCCTCAGGATAGGGGCTTCAGGAAGATGCCGCGGGGAGCGAATGGCGGGGGTGGCGTGCGCAGCTGGGTCGTGGGACCAGCACCCTCCCTTGCTTACGCCTCCTGGATGGTGAGTCCCGGTGTCCAGAGTGAGTCCCAGGGCAGCGTGACCGCGCGCCGCGGGTGCGCACTCGCGTTCCAGGCCAAGCGCGTGTCCAGCCAGGACTGGGGGCACAGGGCGCCGTGAGGCTCCCGCCCTGGGCAGGTGCGTCCCCGGCGCAGCTTGGCGGGGTACTGAAGGCCCGCGCTCGGAGCCGAGTTCTCCCGCCCCCTCTCCCGGTGGGCGCTCACCAGCCGCAGCAGCAGCACGGAGGACACGGTGTACCGCAGGATGTCCTGGGAGAAGGTGGCAGAAGGTCATCTCGGGGGTGGGTGCTGCGGACCAGAGGAGGCAGGGGACCCCAAGGCTCGCCACGGTGAGGCCTGCACCGGTCCCAGCTTGGCTTTCGGCCTGCGCCCTCTCGCCCAGGTGCGCTTACCACGTGAAACACGTTGGACACGAACACCTGCGCCGTTACCAGCAACGGCGCGCTTCCGTTGCTCGGGATCTGGAGGGCTTCTGGAGCCGCCTCAGGCGAGTCGCGACTGAAGAGGGCTGGCCAGGCTGGGGGATGGAGGGAGCGTTCACCTGGGTACCCTGGGAACCCCAGATCCCAGCCCTCTCACCTCGGCCCTCCACACACCGGCTGCGGACGCGCGGGGGCTGTGTCCCGGGAAGGAGGGCTGACCCAGGCCGAGACCCAGGAAGGGGAGATGGAGCAGCAACCACAAGGCCATCGTGGGAGCTGCACCAACTGACTGGCTGGACCCTGGTCGCTTCTCTGGGAGCCGGGCAGGGGGTGGACGGACGGACAGAGCTGTGGGAAGCGGCTGCTCTGTGCAGAGACCTTGGGGACTTTGACTTGGCACCCCCCCCACCACCACCGTTGGGCAAACACTCGGAAACAAAGCCCAGGACTGGCTCCACCCATTGTGCACCTGCTTTGGCTTCCCTGTCCCGCTCCATTTCCACCACCTGGGACCCGACGATGCCACGTTCAAGGGCAGAATTTCCTCCCCCCTCTGCTCCACTAGGTCCTTCCACTGGGGCCAGGTGTGCCAGGTCTGTATTTCAGTGGCCAGCACCTGCCTGGCTGAGTACCCAAGCCATTGGCCCAAAGTGCCCTGCACTAAGTCATGGACGGCGAAAACTCGAGTCTCCTGCTCTCCTTAAACACTGAACCAAATTTCATGTAAAGCGTAGCTCAAGAACTCCGGGAGTGAGCCAGAGCTGTGAGAAGGAAGAGGCCGGTTCAGGGGAAAAGCCCCAGGGCGTTCCTCTTGTCGCTCTTGGTCCTCTGGCCTCCCCAGACCAACAATGCTTTGGAGACGCTGCTGCGCGCTCCAGAGGTCAACCAGCCAGCCGAGGAAGTCTTTCCTGGCCCAGAGAAGAAAGGGAACCGCTGAAGACTTTATTTGGCCCAGGGCGGCAAGGGAAGGAACCGCAAGCCTGGAAGCGGCAGGGCGCCGATCAGTCTGCTCAACTTCCTAGGGGTCCCAGAGAGCTGGGAGCAGACGAGGCCCTGCCACCCGCTGGCTCACAAACGCGACTAGGAACACACACAGTGTCTGCGTCTGCCATCGACCGACTTTATCCAGCGTGCTTAAGCACTCTGCCTACCACTGTCACACGCGCCGGCTGCTGCCAGTCTGGCGATCTATAGACACCTGGCGCCTCCGGACAGCCACGTGCAAAAGGGTCTTCAGCCTGGGGTCTCAGAGTCCCCAGCCTCAGATTTTTGCTGCCTTCGAGGGACACCCCCTCTTTGCAGACAGTTCAGCAAAATGCCCTGCACCCACCCGTCCACAGCCCCCGTGTGAGGTCCCAGAGGCTTCATCGCGCGACCAGAGCCTCAAAAGCGATGAATGCGGACACAGAGCTTGGCTCCACGTGAGACGGGTTTGTGAGTTTTATTAGCAGGAAACTCCCTCCCCTTTTCCCCAACTCTTTGGCACCCAAGTTTTCTGCCAAGTGCTCTCAGGTCACGTTAACTGTCTCGACGCCGTTTGTTGGGGGCCTTCTAGGCCCGTCAGGCCCGGCAGAGGCCAGTCCTCGAGACCAGGCCACTGGGAGGCGCCGGGGTAAGGGCGAGGGGCGCAGCCGCCTCGCTCACGTGAGTCAGGTCGGTGGACTCGCGCTCCAGCACGCTGCAGCTGCGGGCGCCGGGCGCCGCGACGCATACGCGGCGGGAGGCGCGGCGGGGGGCGCGGCGCAGCAGGCCGGCGCAGACCTTGCGGAAGCCCTTGCGGAAGTGCTTGGAGACGAGCGCGTAAACGATGGGGTTGACGCACGAGTTGGCATAGGAGACAAGGTGGGAGAGGATGCGTAGCGCGTAGGTGGCGCGCGTGAGTGGGAAGCGGCCGAACCAGACCCAGAGGATGAGCGCGTGGTGGGGCAGCCAGCAGAGGCAGAAGAGCGCCGCCACGATGACGATCATGAGCGTCACTTTGCGCTTGGCGCGCCGGGAGCCCGAGCCTGCGGACACCGGGTCGACGGCGCGCCAGAGGTACCACAGGGTGCGTGCGTAGGTCAGGCCGAGCACCAGCACCGGCAGCAGGTAGCTGAAAACGAAGGTGCAGAGGTCCATGGCGCGGCGGCGAGGCGCGCTCCAGGCCGGGTGGCACACGGTCAGGTTGGCCAGCCGCGACTGGCGGTAGTAGCTCAGGTAGGGCCCGGAGAAGAGTAACGACAGCCCCCAGATAAGCCCGATGACTGCCAGCGCGTTGCGGGACGTGCGCAGCTCGCGAGAGTGCAGCGGGTAGCGGATGGCCAGATACCTGTGGGTCAGGTGGGGAGAAAGATGTCGGGTGAACGAGCGCAATGGCACCAGCGGGACCGCGACCCTGAGCCTCGGGCCCCAGCCCGCTCTGGAGGAAGGTTTCTAGCTCACTGCCACACAGCGCCCGCCCGAGGAGCGACCCGCGCGGAAACGTGGGGGCATCCCTGCACTTTAAGCGGTGCGGAGACGTGGGGCGCGCCCGGCTGCAGGGAAGGCGCGAGTCCGGGCCACTCATCTGCTTCCCCGGGGCTGCGATCCCCGGCCGACTTCACCCGTGAGGGCGCTCCCAAGCCACCAAGGGGTAAACTTTGGAGCTCCGGGGGGCCTCGTTATGAATACACGTCGGTGACTTTGCCCCGGGAGGTAGGCCGGGCGCCTGCGGCTCTGGTGGGCGGCGGCCTGAAGGCATGTCCGGCGAGGTAGAGCGAGGATACTTCCGAGGAAAGCGCTCCGGGAACGCACTCAGCGCTCACGTGGAACTTGGTGGAGCGGAGGCCGGGGAGTGTGACCTCGCCTCAGGAGGTGCTTTTCCGGGAGAGATCTGGAGGACGTGGGATGGAGACGGCGGAAGGGTACCGGAGTCACCTGGATTCCTCCCGGGACCCATCCCGGTTCTCTCCGTGCTCCGAAGATGCCTCTCCTCTGGCCTGGGAGGGGGCTCCTCTCCCCGCCCCTGCCCTGGGTCTGGCGGTGGGCGCAGGTGGACTGGGACGAGTGACGGACCCTGAGAGCCCTGGCTCGGACTTCGGCGAGGGACCCAAGTTCCGCAGTCCAGACCAGAGCAGCCAGCAGCCGGACTGAGGTTTCGAGACGCCCGCAGTGGAGGCGCTAGGAGACCGACGGGTGACTTGTCTCACACAACTACTGGCCACTCGGGCAACTCACTCACGAATTCCCTCTTACTCTCTGTGAAGTGGGCACAACAACCCCTCGCACTCCAACATCCTATTCTCACTGCTGTGCAGTCCATTCGGACTCCTAACAAGTCTATAGGACAGACTAGAACTGCCCTACAGGCATGCCTAGGTTGTAAGTCTTATGTGAGTCCCTGAGCTCCTGGTGGGTTCCAACCGCCAACCTTTCGCTTTCCAGTCCAGCGTTGAAGCATTGTGCCAGGAGGCCTGCTTCCCATCTCAACATAACGGAAGCATTCGAAAACGCGTTGTTCTGGGAAACACTGCGCTTTGCAAAACGCGGTGGCTTACAGCCCGCCATGCCCAGAGTCCGAACCCAACGGAGGGACGCCGCTGTCTCCGCTGTTCTTCCTTCTGGGCGCCCACTTTTCTTCCACTCCCCACGGGTCCCTTTGCTTTCTCAATACCCCCTCCTACTCCCTGCGCGTCCGTCCCGGACCCCCAGGCCCGCTACCCCTCACCAGTCCCCCACCCGGGCCGCCAGGGCACCTGCTCACCTGTCCAAGGAGACGGCGGCCAGCGTGAAGCTGCTGGCATGCATGGTGAGGAAAATGAGGAAGTGCACGGCTTTGCAGAGCACCCAGCCGAACACCCAGCCGTCCAGGGTGTAGACGGTGGCCTGGAAGGGCACGCAGCACACGATGAAGCACAGGTCGGCCACGCCCAGGTTGAGGATGAACAGGTTGGTGGTGCTGACCGCCTGGCCGCCGCGCAGCAGCACGGCCAGCACCAGCGCGTTGCCCACGGTGCCCACGAGGAAGATGAGCGCGAACAGCGCGGGCACCATGACCGCCTCGGGCTGCCAGCTGCCGCTGCCCGCCTCGCTGGCGTCCTCGGCGCCGAGGCCGCCCGAGCTGTTCATGGTGCCGCCGCCGAGCGCGGCTCGGGTCTCCGGCCACCGTCCGGGTCTCGGCGAGCGCGCAGCGCGGGAGGGCGCCTGGCGGCGGCTGGCTGGAGCGGGGTGGGGGCGCGCAGGGGGCGGAGCGAGGCCCCGGGATGGGGCGAGGCCAGAGCTGTCGAGCTGTCCGGGTGCGTCAAGCCTGGGGCGGGCAGCGCACCCCCGGGCGGAGGGCGGCGCTCGTGCCTGCGCCCCGGCCCTGTGACTTCCTCAGCGCGCTCCCGGCCCGGAGCCAGGCTGTGCCGAGCGGTGGAAGGGGGACCGCCAGTGCTGCGTGTGCGCCGCAGGCTGCGCTCGCCCGGGTCCCCGCGCGCCTCGGCCCTTCCCCGTCGGCTGGCGGGCGCGCAGGAACTGCGGGTTGGGGGCGCCCTCGAAAGGGCTCCGGGTGGCCGCTGGAGGTTGGGGGCGGGGTGACAAGGGGCAGGAGAGGGACAGAGGCCCTGGAACGGCCCGTCGTGCGCTCCACGCCTCTTCCCATTTCTAATTCCCAGGACCCGGGATGGAGCTCCAGGCCTCGCGGGAACCCCAGAGAGCGGCGGCGGGAGTAGGGAAGGCAGGTTCTGAGGACACTGGTTAGCTTTCTCTCTCCCTTTTACCCGCTGTTACACGTCTTCCTCTCCAATCCAATGCCAAATACCTGTTGAGCATCTACTGTGCGCCAGGCTCCGTCCTTGGCGCTGGGCCCCAGTTTTCTCAGCTGCAATATGGACATAACAGCCCCTCCTTTTCAGAGGGCTCTGGTAAGAATGGAACGAGGTGTCTGTTACAAGCCTGAAGCCAGTTCGTTCATCTGAGTGTATCAATGACTTCTTTCTTTTCTCTTTATTCAGATACCTAAAAACACTTGAGGATACGTAGCAGATAGGGAAGGCAGAGTTGGGTTCCGTGAACCAGCACATTTTCCACGGTGGCCAGGCTGTATGAGACTCAAGCATTTGTTTCTGGGTTTGAAGTAGTAGTGTTGTGTGCTATCAGCGTTGACACCGATTCATAGCGACCCTGTAGGACATAGTAGAGCTACCCCATAAGGTTTCATAGAATGCAAAATTTACATTACAGGAAGCAGCTCAGGTAGTTAGGTGCTGGACTGCTAACTGAAATGTCTGCGGTTCGAAAACATCAGCAGTTCCATGGGAGAAAACACCTGGGAATCTGCTCCCATAAAGATTACAGATTCAGAAACCCTGTGGGGCAGTTCTGCTCTGTCCTCTAGGGGCGCTGTGAGTCGCAATAGACTTCAGGCAGTGGGTGTGGTTTGGGCTTTGCTTCAGCGGACATTGCCAGCTGTGGAGACCTGTGGGGCAGTTCCAGTCTGTCCTCTAGGGGCGCTGTGGGTCCGAATCAACACAACACAACAGCAGTGGTGTGTGAAGACTGACAGCCTTGGAAACCCTGTGGGGCAGCTCTACCCTAACATATGACATAGCCACAAGTCGACCTAATGGCGGTGGGTTTGTTTTCTTGGAATCTTTACAGGGCAGACTGCCAGGTCTTTTCCCTCTGGAGGGCTGGTGGCTTCAAAACAGAGAGCTGCCAGGGCCTATAGTATTTGTGACTTGGGATCATTGCTGTTTCTATAGAATTTAACTTTCCCAGGTCACTGGATCTGAAAATTGCCACCTTCTACCACTGCAGCTTGGTCTCTGCCTCACCTTCCCCTGCCCTGTTCTGAGGGTCCCAGTCCAGAGCATGTGGTAGTTAAGGTTGTGTGTCAGCTTGGCTGGGCCTGGGTGAGTGGCTGGGCAGCTGGCGGGAGTTATTCCCCATGATGAGAATGGCAATCAGCTCCATGGTGCCATCTACCACAAGCAGCTGAGTAGCTGCCTTTGGTATGTGGTCTGCTTCCTGTATAGAAGCAGCAGCTTTGGGAATGGTCTCTAGCTGATGGCACGCTTGAACCCTGCATGTAGCCGTGTCATTGTTCAGCAGCCTGCCATGCTCTGCCGACCTTGGGACTTCCAATGGACTTGATGTTGTAAGACTGTGTCTACGTTGTTGTTGTTAGGTGCTGCTGAGTTGGTTCCGAATCACAGTGACCCTGTGGACAACGGAACAAAACACTGTGCAGTCCTGCGCCAGCCTCCCAATCCTTGCTGTGCTTGAGCCCGTCGCTGCAGCCACTGTGTCAACCCATCTCATCAACGGTCTCCCTGTCACTGACCCTCCGCTTCACCAAGCATGATATCTTTCTCCAGGGACTGGTCTCTCCTGACAGCATGACCCAAGTATGACAGCTGAAGTCTCAGCATCTTCTAAGGAGCATTCCGGCTGTATTTCGTCCAAGACAGACTTGTTCGCTCTTCTGGTAGCCCATGGATAGTCAATGTTCTTCAACACCATAATTCAAATGTATCAGCGCTTCAGTCTTTGCTATTCATTGTCCGGTTTTCACGTGCATATGAGGCGATTGAACACATGACTTGGGTTAGGCACATTTTAGTCCTCACAGTGACATCTTTGCTCTTTTAACACTTTAAAGAGGTCTTTTGCAGCAGATTTGCCCAATGCAATCCATCATTTGATTTCTTGACTGCTGCAAGGGTATTGATTGTGGATCCAAGGAAAATGAAATACCTGACAACTTCAATGTTTTCTCCACTTATCAAGATATTGTTTGTTGGTCCAGTTGTGAGGATTTTTGTTTTATGTTGCTGTGCAATCCATAGTGAAGGCTGTCATCTTTGCTCTTCATCACTAAGTGCTTCAAGTCTCTTTACTTTCAGCAAACAAGGTTGTGTCACCTGCATATTGCAGCTTGTTACTAAGTCTTCCTCCAATCCTGATGCCACATTCTTCTTCACATAGTCCAGCTTCTTGGAGCTCACGTACCGATTGAATACATACAGTGAAAGGATACAACCCTGATGCACACCTGTCCTGATTTTAAACCATGCAGGAGCCCCTTGCTCTGTTCAAACCTTTGCCTCTTGGTCTATTTAGTTTTTTCAGAAGTAAACTGCCGTTGCTTTTTCCAAGCCTGTCTTAGTCTGGAAGCTCTGCAGAAACCCGTCCACTGCGGGGGACCCTGCCAGTGTTTGAGATACCAGTGGCCTCATTTCCAGTATCACAGCAACATGCCGACAGACGAGTGCTGGCTGTGACAGTCGGAGGGAAAGAGGGACTCATCTCAGGACTGCGAGCACTGCAGACGAATGTGATCTCACTTTTTTTGGGGTAACAGCTTTATTGAGATATCATTTCTAATTCACATACTACACAATCCATCTATTGAAAATGGGCAATTCAATGTTTTTTTAGTGTAGCCAGAGTTGTCATGGATCACCACAATCAATTTTCATTCCTGTCAAAAGAAACTCCTCCTTTTAGTTATCACTCTCTCATCTACCTGCTCCCCACCCCCAGCTCCAGGCAACCACTAACCTACTTTCTGTCTTTATAGGTTTGTCTACTCTTGACATTCACATATAATGGAATCATTGTTTTTTTTTGTGTGTGTGTGTGTGTGGCTGCTTTCACTTAGCATAATGTTCGCAGGTCCTATCAGATTAGAGCTTCACTTCTTTTCATTGGTGACTATTCCATTGTGTGGATACACAGGTTCCTGGGTAGCAACAATAGTCAGGACTGGACCACTAACCTAAAGGTTGGCGGTTCAAACCCACCCAGCTGCACAGCACAAGAAAGTCTGGTGGTCTGCTTGTATAAGATGATGACCAAGACACTCTATGGAACAGCTCTACTCTGTAACCCATGGAGTCGCCACGAGTTGCCATCAACTAGACAGCAGTTGGTTGGGTGCTTGTTTATTTCCGGTATGGATGTGCTGTTGTCATTAGGTGCCATCATTCATTAGTGATGGATGTTTTGGAGACCTACTTAAGCAAAAAAGGAAGCAGTCCTGGTGGCTCAGTGGATAAGTGGTTAGCTTGGCAGTTCCAACCCACCAACAGCTCTGTGGGAGAAAGATGTGGCAGTCTGCTTCTGTAAAGATTACAGCCTTGGAAACTTTATACCAAAAACCAAACTCACTGCCATCAAGTAGACTGACTCATAGTGACCCCTATAGGGTTTCCAAGGCTGTACATCTTTGTGGAAGCAGACTTATCCACCGAACCACCAGGGCTCCTTGGACACTCTAGTTAAGTTCTGTTGTATTCTATAGGATCTGTGATGTGTCAACTTGGCTAGGGCATGATTCTCAGTGGTCCGGCAGATACTATATAATTATCCTGCATTTCTGATGTGAGCAGCTTATCTGTTGAAAGGGGAGTTTCCTTGGGGGTGTGGTCTGCAGCCAATAAATGTGGATGTACTGGCAAAGCTCCTGTCCACATCCTGCATCCCACCAGTCATTCTGACATCTGGTTCTTGGGAGGTGAGCCAGCAGCCTGCTACCTGACCTGCTGACCGTGTCCATCGGCCTCTGCTACCATGTGAGTCAGGAGAAACCTCCAGTCTGATGCCTGACCCACAGATTTGAGACTTGCCTGCCTCCACAACTGGGTGAACCACTTCCTGGAAATAAATCTCTCTATGTATTTATACAGCCTAAGACAGGGTCACTATGAGTTGGAATCAACTTGAAGGCAACAGGCCTTTAAAAATGAGTTATTTCACTGAATCTTTATGACAACGGTGCTAATTGGTTATCCCCTTTCACAGAGGAGGGACCAGATTGTGAGGGAGGTGAAGTAACTGGCCCATTATCTCCCAGCCAGGAGCAAGAGCCACTTAGGAGCTCAGGACTCGACTTCAGGGCCCTCAGTGTCCTGATGCAGAGCTAAGATTCACACTTTCCCTCGGCTCCACAGGTCTCTCTCCTTGAACAGACTGCCCCAAGGTCCAGAGAAGACGCAGGTTCTCAGTAAGAAAGTCCCTACATCGGGCTACTGATGATGACATCAGCAATTGCTCTAGCACCCCTTTCTCAGGAGCTCTGGTGGCATAGTGCCTAAGGCATTTGACTGCTAACCAGAAAACTACCGGTTCAAACCCCCCAGCCACTCCTGGGAAGGAAGACTGGGCGATTAATCGATTTTCGTAGAGATACTGCCTCGGAAACCCAAGAAGGGGGTCGTTATGAGTCGGGACCGACTCTACGGCAGTGAGGTGTTTTTTTTGTTTTTTTTTTTTCTGGTACCCCTTTCTCACACAGACAGCAGCGGTTCCCACACAGGCGGGGTGTGTGTCCTCTAATGCAGTGGGAACTCTCCAGTTCCCGAGAGCGCTCATAGTTCAAGGACTTTGATCCACTCCCCTACCTCTACCTCGCCCCTTCAGTGCACGGCTTGAGCCGAATCCCGACCTGGGATGCACGAGTTGGAGGGTCATCTCCAGCCCTTACTGAACAAGGAACCGCTCTCGAGAAGATCTCAGCGACCATCTCCCGGCGCCAGCGAGCCCAGGGTCATGCCCAACCCCATTACCCGCCCCGCGAGCCGAAGTCACGCGCAGGCGCACGCCAACAAATGGCTCCAGCCTGCGGGCAGGGCCCGCCAAGGCGAAGACCGCCGCTATCCCGTCAGCCCGTCCTGGCAAGTCCTGCTCTCTCGAGCCCTCAGTCGTCCCGCCTCCTCTATCCCGTCCTGCTTTGCGGCGCAGGCAAGATGGCTGCTGAGAAACAGGTCCCTGGCGGCAGCGGCGGCGGCAGTGGTGGCGGCGGCAGCAGCGGTGGACGCGGTGCTGGTGGAGAGGAAAATAAAGAAAACGAACGGCCTTCAGCCGGATCGAAGGCAAACAAAGAATTCGGGGACAGCCTGAGTTTGGAGAGTATCCTAGAGGAATCGGGCCTAACTCGCAATGACTACGTGTCCATCTGGCGGGCCGGGGGCGGGAGAGGCGGCGGGTCCCGGCACGTCCTGGGCTGGAGAAGCTGAGGGTTGCAGTTTCTCTGTCAGAGTTTCAGGGTCTGTCTTGCACCTGGCCTTTCCTCGCACCCTCCTCGCCCTCCAGGCTGAAGAACGTCCTTTACTTTCAGTCGGCACGAGGGTTCGGGGCAGGTTTTCTAGGTGCCCAGTCGGAGGGCTTGTGATGGGGATAACACTCTGGCCACCCTGCAGAGCTCCTGCCTTGGCATCTTGAGCCTCTGGAAGAGGAAAGTGCACTTTTGACGTTTTGGCTTACTGTTCTTGTCTGACAGCCATCGTAGACTGGCTAGTAAGAATGACGGCCTGACGTGCGCGCGGAGCCAAAGATTGACTGCTTTGAAGAAACGCGTGTTGCTATGTTGGATGTAAATTACCAGAGCTCCCGATGGTCTAGAGGCATTTTATTTTGTTGCGAGTTCAGATGAAGTGGAGGCATTCGAGTCTAGTTTTCATTAGTGTTTGTGTTATTAGTTTGTAACATTTTGAAATGAGCAAAAGGAGAAAATGTAGGTGAGTTTCTGAAATAACACATTTAGCTTGACATCTTGGTGTAGTTACATTTTCAGGAGTTTGGAGTTTGACTTTGTGAATTGGTGAATTGAGTTAGTTGCAAGTGGGTGTCAAAATGCCTTGATTTTGCTAGCAGCCATGTATGGTCTTGTTCCTTTTTAGTTACTTGAATAGTGTTCCAGTATTTAGTGTTCACTAGAGAGGAGCTCTGTTAGCCTAGTGCCTAAGGCACTTGACTGCTAACCAGAAGGCTGGCGCTTCAAACCCACCAGCCACTCCGAAGGAAGGTTGAGCAGTCCTACTTCTGTAGTGATACCACCTCAGAAAACCAAGGAGAGGTCACTATGAGTCGGGCCAACTCGACGGCATATAACAATAACAGGGAAGCGTTGTGGAAAATTAAAAAGAAAACGGAAATTGTAGATAAAGATCATTGGACTTCCTAAGTTAGATAAATACATTTAAAAAAGAGTGTGGCCAGGGTTTTTTTAAAAGGAAAAAGTTTAGCATAATATTTTAATGCAGTTTTTACTTTGGCTCACAAGTGCTGACCATGGTCTTTGCAGCAGCACAGCTGTTAAGGAAATTTACATTTGGCAGTTGGGGGAGGTTATGCAAGTAGTGGTGTGGTACACGTCATCTATAACCTGAATTGGCTCCTGAATTGGCTTCCGTGAGTAAAATGCTGGCTCCAGGTTTAAATCAACGGTACTCACCTTGGTTACCCCAACTTTTGGAATCCTGCTGCTTTATTTTAGCTGTTGAGTTTCAGCGGTCCAAAATGTTTAATAATGTTCTTCTTTTTGTGTGTGTGACAGTAATTGCAGCTCAAGCAATAATAATTTCTACTTGTTTAGCCCTCTCACATGACTATTGAAAATGGTTACAAGAAATTTTAGTAGTTGATGTACTGAGTATTGAGAAGTGTTTCCTGTGCTGTAGGTTGATAGGAATATAAATCGATGGGGACAAGTTTTGCATGATTTGGATTCTTGCCCTTGTAAGCGTTTCCTTAACCTCGGCTCTAGTTCTTCAGATTATCAAGGAATCCCAGCAGCAGCATGGTTTGCGGCATGGCGATTTTCAGAGATACAGGTTAGTATCTGTATTCAGAAACTGGCAAACCTGCCTTGCGTTTGTTACTATCTATCCCACTTACTCTGCTTATCAGGAAGTGTTCTTAGGGGGTCTCACTCTGAACCTGTATTGAATCCCCAAAAGGTAATTAGTTTTCAGATTTAAAATGTTATAATGAAGGAAAGGAGCCTTTTTTATCCATTTTGCCTCATGTATCGAAGATTGCCTAGTCTTCCTTCGCAGTTGTGATAATCATTTTTTAACTTAATTGTGTTGTAGCACCTTGTTTAAAAATCAACGTTTTTCAGTATTTTAAACATGTAAGGGGACTTTCTGTGAGTTTATTTTGATAACAGCTTTTAAGTTGGAAAGCAAATTTAATGTGAATCTCCAAAGTAAAATACAGTTGGTACTTTGAAAACAAACATCCAACCATTTCTTTATTACAAGTATTATGGACTTAGGTACTTGATTTAAAATAGTACTCGACATCTCAGATCCTCATCATCCATTCATTTATTTGAAAACATGTGATGAGTACTAAGTGCCTGACACTCTTCCAGTCACGAAACCAAAGACCAAAGCAGTTGCCGTTGGGTTCATTCTGATTCACGACGGTCCCATGTATAGAGAGAGAACTGCTCCGTGGGGTTTTCAGGACTGTAGCCTTTTGGAATAATCTCCAGGCCTTTCTTTGAAGGCACTTCTAGGTGGGTTTGAACCACCAACCTTTCAGTTAGCAGCCAAGTGCTTAACCATTTTGTCACCCTGGGATTTATAGGTGCTGTAGAGCAGGATAAAAGTTCTTACTCTCTGGGAATTTACATTCTGATAATTAGATACAACAAAAGTGTCTGCTTAGGGTAAAAATTAATGGTAGTGATATCAAAAGGAGTGACCTGGAAGAGGTGCTACTTTAGATGAGAATGGTGTGGGGTGGGGGAATAGGATGGGGTGGAGGGGTGGGTGTTCTCTGGAAAAGCTTTCTGAGGGAGGGCATTTAGGCAGAGACCTGGGTGCTAAAGGGTCAGCCATATGGTGAAATGGGTCAACAGAGCTGGGCAGAGTGAGCAGAGGGTAGTGGTGTGAGTTGAAACTGGAGTAGGCAGGGCCAGACTGTAGGGCCCTATAGGGTAGGCTAAGGAGTTCAGGTTTTAATCTCATTGTGGTGGGAGGCCATGAGAGAATTGTGAACAGGGACTATTATGACCTGTTTTTTTTTTTTTTTTTTAATTATTAAGGATATTTTCAGACACTTAGTGTAGATACAGTAACAACTCATAAGCTCATCACTCAGTCATTACAGTGATCAGTTTTTTGTCCTTCTTGATTTGTATGTATCCTCCCCTCCTACAGAAAGTGATGAATTTCCACAACCTGAGTGTACCTTTGTGAACTTGCACCAAGATCAAGAGACAAACATTGACAACATCCCAGAGTCTCTGGTTTCCGCTTCTAATCATAGATCCTTATAGCAGTTTTCCAGAGTGGCAATATCAGTTGGCACTGCCACCTGCAGAGTTTGAGAGCTTGGCTGCTCCACTTCCTTGCCAACATTCATGTGGTCTGTCTTACATTTATTTTGCTAGATTATTTTAAAACAAATCTTAGCAGTTTGTACCTTTGATAGATACCAAAACCAAACCAAACTCACTGCTGTTGAGTCTGACCCAACTCATAGCAACCCCTCCTTGGGTTTCCAAGGCAGTATCACTATGGAACTATATTGCCCAACCTTCCTTCCAAGGAGTGGTTGGTAGGTTTGAACCACCAGCCTTTTGGTTAGCAGTCAAATGCTTTAGGTGCTACGCCACCAGAGCTCCTATCGGTAGATGTGTTGTTGTTATGTGCCATTGAGTTGGACCCAACTCATAGCGACTTCTCCTTGGGTTTCTGAGGCAGTATCACCACAGAAGTAGATTGCCCAACCTTCCTTCCAAGGAGTGGCTGGTGGATTTGAACCGCCAGCCTTCTGGTTAGCAGTCAGGTGCCTTAGGGACTACGCTACCAGCCTTTTAAAAGCATATCTGTAATACTATCATCCTACCTAACCAAATGAACACTGCATCCTCAGTGTCATCTTGTCCAATGATGTGAATGTTACTTGTTGTTAAGGGCTGGCTGGCCAGCCCTAACTCAGTGATCCTGTGTACAACAAACAAAACACTGCCTGGTTCTGCGCCATCCTCAGTCCTTGCTGTGTGTGAGTCCGCTGTTGCAGCCGTTGTGTTGTTTCATCTCATTGAAGGTCTTCCTCTTTTTTGCTGACCCTCTACTTTATTCAAGTATGAGGTCCTCCAGGGACTGGGCCCCCCTGGTAGCAGGTCCAAAGTACGTGAGGTGAAGTCTTGCCATCGTTGCTCCGAAGGCACATTCTGGCATCTGATTTTTTAAAAAATAATATTTTACTGTTTTTGGTGCAGGTTTACACAGCTGACTAGATTCCTATGCAGCAATTTCTGCACTAGTTGTTCAGTGACACTGGTTATATTCTTTACTATGTGTAAACAGTCTCATTGTTTCCATTCTGGTTGTTCTGTTTCCCTTAATCCAGTTTCCCTGCCCCTTGACATTCTCATCTTTGTTTTAAAGTAATTGTTGACTGGACTCATATAGGTCAGTTTTTAAAGGCGCACACGACTTAATGGGTGATATTTTTTGAGCCAGTTTCTTATTTAATTACAAAGTGACCTCATGGTTAGTTTCTTTTCAAGGTTTGAAGTGCATGTCAGGGAAGTAGTCTTGGAGTCTGGCAGCTTTTTTTTTTTTTTTTTTTTTAGGGGGGGGAGGATTTGAGGTTCTGTTCCACATTTTTCTTCTATCTATTGTGGGCCTGATTAGAATGGTTAGTAGTGTTAACTGGGCACCATCTAGTTCTGGTCTCAGGGTAGTTTCATGGTTCCTGTAGACTATTTGTCCTGTAGACTAGTTTCTTCATGATCTTTTTTTCTTTTAAAGCTTATTCTGCCTGCTACGTGGAGGATGTGTTATAAAGGCTAAGAATAAACGTAGCCTGATAGGCATATTCAGCCCAAATGAGATGGTGGGGTCTTAGACTAGGATGTTAGCAGTGGAGATGCTCAGAAGTAGCTGGCTTTGGTATATTTTGGAGGAGAGTTTTCAGGCTCTATTGATGGGTTGGATCGTGAGGGCCAGGAAAAGAGGAAGTGAGAGTAGCTTTTAGTTTTGGGGTGTGAACATTGCTTTATAGGATTCCATCATGTGAATGAGTCACAGTTTATCACTGTTGTAGATGGGCTTGAGCTTGAGCTTAGCCTGAACCTGGGTGATAATGCCATTTATGGAAATGAGAAAAGGCTGAGGAGCAAGTTGGTGGAGAGGACACAGATAATAATTTCCATTTTGGACATGTTTAATTTGAGATGCCTGTTAGACATCCAAGTGGAGATGTCAGATAGATACTTGGAAATACAAGTTTGGAGTTTAGTGGAGAAGTCAGGCTGAAGATAGAAATTTGGCTATCACAGGCATGTTGGTGGTATTTAAAGCCATGGGGTAAATGGGATTATCTGGGGGGAGAGTGAGGTGTCTTTTTTCCTTCACTTTGCTGCCAATAGTGGGAATTGAGAAATAGCAGCTAGGAGGGTGGGAGGAAGCTGAGAGGAGAAAACATTCCAAGAAGGATGAAGTGGTTGGTTTGCAGAAGCCTCTGAGAGCTGTCAGGATAGGAGGCTAGAGAAAGACCATTGGTTTTGTTAACAGAGAGGTCAGTAGTGGTATGTTTTTTTAATTTTGAGATAATTAAAGATTCACATGCAGTTAAGAAACGATACAGAGAGATTCTGTGTACCTTTACCCAGCTGGCACGGATTGTTTGCGCCTGACTGCTGACCTAAAGGTTGGTGGTTTGAACCCACTGATGGTGCCATGGAGGAGAGGCCTGGTGGTGGGCCTCTAGGTTACAGCCACGAGGCCCCTGCAGCTGTTCTCCACGATGCATGGGCTTGCCGGGAGTTGGACCTGACTGCATGGAAGTGGGTTTTTTTTTTTTAATTTTAGTAATACAGCCTGAGAATGACATCCATACAGTAAGGTGCAGAACCCTTCCTTCGTTATAAGGGTCCCTTGTGTTGCCCTTTTTCAGCCATACCTGTCTTCTCGCTCCTTAATCCTACTCTTGCCTTAATCCCTAGCAGCTATCGGTCTGTTCTCCATTTCTATAATTGTGTCATTTCAAGAGTGTCATGTGAATGGAATCATACAGTGTAACCTTTGGGGATGGGTGTCTTTCATTTGGTGTGATTTTCTGGAGATTCGTCCAGCTTGCATGCATGAGTAGTTCATGGCCTTTTATTTCTGAGTAGTAGTCCATGGTGTGGGTTGACCACGGTTTGTTTAAGCACTCACCCTTCGAAGGGCATCTGGGTTGTCTCTAGGTTTTGGCTATTACAGATAACGCTGCTTTAAACATTCGTGGACAAACTCTTGTGTCAACAGTGGTTTTCATATGGGATAAATGCCTGAGAGTGCAGTTACTGGCTTGTTTTGTAGTTGCATGTCTAGTTTTTTAAGAAAATGCCGAACTGTTTTCCACAGTGGTTGTACCATTTATATTCCCCCCAGTGATGTATGAGTGACCTGGTTTCTCTACATCCTCACCAGCATTTGGCTTTGTCTCTATTTCTCATTTTAGCCATTCTGATAGTGTCTCATTAATTTGCATTTCCCTTTGGTAGCATAGTGCCTAAGGCATTTATTTGACTGCTAACCAGAAGGCTGGCGGGTCAAACCCACCAGCCACTCCTCAGAAGGAAGGTTGGGCAATCTGCTTCCATGGTGATACCCCCTCAAGGAGGGGTCGCTGTGAGTCATCCGACTCAATGGCACATAACAACAACAACGATGGTTAATGATGTGGAACATCTTTTTTCATGTGCTTATTTTCCACCTGTAAATCTTTTTTTGGTGAAATGTCCTTTTATTCCTTTTATCCATTTTCTAATTGGATTGTTTGGATTTTTTTTACAGTTGGCTTTTGAGTTTTTTGTGTGTTCTAG